GGAGATCCTTGCCCTCGTCGAAGTCGTCCTGGATCTGCTTGCCGAGCTCACTGTCAGGGAGCTTAACGTCGTCCTTGGCAGTTCCATCCTGAGTCATCAGGTTAAGGAAACCGTCATCGATGTTAACCTAAGAAAGGGGTTAGTCACGAGCGCCGCCGCAAAGCGGAGCGGTTAAACTTACGAGCTGGTACTCGTTACGGTAGACGTTGGGGACATCGACGTTGTGGGTGGAGGGAGAGATATCCTCCTATATGCGCGCACGATACTTTCAGACATCTACGAGCCACTGAGTGGAGTGAGAACACGTACAAGTTTTTTGCCGGTAAAGATCTAAAGAACTGTCAGGCAATGCGCTGCAAACACGTATGAACAAAGAGCGTACATCGATGCCGACAAGGTGGACCTTGGCGTGCCCGTGCTTGCCGGTCTTGGAGGTGGACATCTCCACGATCTTGCAAGGACGACCTATGGTGAGGGGTCATTCATGGCGTACGTTCAAAGTATACAAGGCTCATTACCCTTCATGACGACGTGCCCATTCTTGCGAAGGGCAGAGCACTGCATGGGGAACGTCGCGGAGGCCCCGGCGCTGGCCTAGAATGTACGACGGGTGTAAAAAGTCAGAGCGAGACCCGGGGGGACGTGCGGGGATGTGCGTACCTGCTCGAAGTCGTGCTGGTGGTGCTGCTCGTCGTCAGACATGGTGGTCGTCGATGTGTGTGCGAAGTGGAGGATGTGTGCAGAAAGATGGAGAGATCGAGGAGAGCAGTGTGAAGAGCAAAAACTATCAAATTTCCATCTCCGAACTGCCGTACACATCGGAGATAGCCGAGATATCTCACGCCCCGGTTGGCGCCGGTCGGTTAAGGCGCCGTCGGCAGGCGCGCGTCTGCGCATCGGCCGCTTGGGTCTGCGCGAGCACTGCACTGCTCCTTACACATCTCTACCTCTGACCACCACCATGCACCCCTTTGGAGGCACACCAATTTGCCCAAGATGCAACAAGGCTGTCTACGCTGCGGAGCAGGTGCGTGAAGTAGCAAAATTGATAGACGAGGACTGAGCCTGTCTCTTTCCAGATTATGGGCCCTGGACGAAAGGTGCGTGACAGTTTCCTAAGTGCTTGTGCACGAGTTGACCGTCAATTCGCAGTTGTATCACAAGGTATGTATGCTGGACTCCGCAGTGACTAGCAACTGACGTGTGCGCAGCCCTGCTTGACTTGTACCACCTGCAACAAGAGGCTAGACTCGCTCAAGCTTGTCGAGCATAACCAGGAAGTAAGTCATCTTTCTACATGAGGTTACAAGAGGGCTGACGCGTGTACGCAGCCATACTGGTACGCCGCAGCTTGCTGCGTATGATACAGACACTAACTCCCCCGTAGCAAGCAATGCCACATTCGGAATTTCGGTACCCGAGACCTACGTCATGCCAACCTACCCGACAGAGACGACGTGCTTCTGTCGCCGCCTACGTCCCCTACGCGTACTACTACCGCGATGTCGCCTAGAAGTGGCGCGTCGCCACTTCCAATGCAGCGCACCGCGTCGCCTACCTCTCCTGTATTCCGACCAACGCACACCCTCGGCTCAGGACGTCTTTCCATTGATCGAACAGTCACCCCAATCGCCAATGGTTTCAACGGCGCAAAGAACGGTCCCACAAGCAGCATTAAAGACGACGAAGATTGGGAACCACCCGTCGTCAACAACACGCCTTCGCACTTGGGTCGCAGTGCCGGTGGACTGCCTCGCACCCTAGCGCTCGATTCCACTATGACGGGACATGGCCGTGCGGAAAGTCCAGCTAAAGAGCCGTCATCCCCTGTTCGTGTCGTCCACATGTCTACTGGGGAAGATGTCACCGCCCAAGGCAAGACCATCATCGGCGGGCACATGACAATGACTGTGCCTCTCACACCTCGGGCAACCGGTATACGTTATGGTGCCGCTCTCGGTGGACGAACTGCGTCGCCTATTACGCCAACAGCCACCGGTCGGTCATGGGGAGGCGGAGGGAATCCCTCTTGCGGAAAATGCGGCAAAACGGTGTATTTCGCGGAGCAGGTCAGTATGATGTCTACTGTGCGCAAGCATGAGTTACTCAACCATCTTATAGGTCAAAGCCATCGGAAAGACATTCCACAGAAACTGCCTACGATGCACTGAATGTAACACCACGCTAGACTCCTCGCGTCTAACGGAAAATGAGGGCAACCCTTACTGTAAGCACTGTTACGGCAAGGTGAGCATTATCTTGTCCACCCTCCCAAGCACGTACTTACTTATGTACCCTCAAGTTGTACGGCCCTAATGGCAGCGGATACGCGCTTTTGGGCAAAGCAGGTGGCTAAAGATCCTGTCTCGCGAGCAAGCAACAAATAACATATTGCACCTGTACGGACCATCCTATACCTGTTTACAATATGTCAGCCTGTTGTAGCAATAATCTGCATCGCGTGTAGCGCAATGAACGAATGTAATTCGAATGTAGCTCTATAGTAGTCTCTTTCACGACGGACTTCTTATGACTTTACGACTTCTGACCGGCATGATTATGTCCTGATTCGTACAGATGTATTTTCCAGGTTTGGTATGGCATCGAAGACTCGTACTTTCCGCATTGGTACGGTGAATCGTGATCGTCGATCGAAGTAGGACGCAAGGGGTGAGTGTTCAACTTGCTCGTCTCGAACCGCCACTGTAGGTCGTTTACCATGGCTTTCAGGCTCGACATCGCAGGCATACTCGCCCTCGTCGCTCTTTGTTTCGTCTCGTCTATCTCTGCGTCACCTGTTCCCGTACCCCCGGTAGCCGAACCAAGCGCTACACCGGTGGTCCTTACTCTCTCACTCTGCACACCCTTTGTCGTCCTCGCCGCGGTCAAATTTTCCTACTTGCGCTACCGCCGTGCCCAATCCATACACGCACACACCGCACCTGGACCATCGCTCTCAGAATGCACCGAGACGAAGGCGAGCAGGATGCTCGGCCTCGGCTTCGACGCGTCTGTCCTCTACCCGGCCAAGCGTAGGTTTGGCTTGCGTGTGGATGTGGGCTCGCTCGCGGGGTACGTCGTCGGCTGTCTCGGCTCGCCAGAGTGGGAAACGCGAATGCGCGTGCGCATCGACACCGCCGCGCGCAAATGCCGCCCGCCGTCGTCGTTCATTCAGTCCCAATCGCAAGCGACGTCGCCGATGCTGTCCGCGTCTGTCCGCTGGTCCAGTCAAGGCTCGCGCACGACTACGGGCGGGAACAGGACAAGCCTTTCGGCGTCGCGTTTCTCGTCGTCGCGGTCGCGATCGATGTCGGTGTCGTTCCTGGAGATGCATTCGCCGAACACGAACAGCAGCAATGCGGACGCGCATTCACGCGATGGTATCACGGATTGTTCGACTATACACCCGTCGTCGCCTCCCTGTTCGGACCTAAGGCACGGGCACGGCGCGCTGTTACCGACGATACCCTCTGAAGTGTCTCGTTCGAATACCAAGTCTGGGAGCACGAGGTCACGTCGCCATGCATCTACTTCGACTTTGTCGCCCACCCTGATGCAAGTCATGGAGCCCGTCATCGCATCTTGGCGTCAGAATAGCCCGAAGGACAAGTCTAGTAGTTCGGACTCGAGCAATAGCCATGGTCACTCGCCGTCAATGAGTAAGCCACAGCATTCCATACTTGTTTTATTCACTGACGGCGTATCTTCAGCACCCGCGTTCGAGACCCCTCCAACTTCGCCCAATGTACCTTCGTCACCCTCGTCTGTTGGGTCTGTCGCCACAGCACGGCTGACTATTAGTGTCTCTGGGAAGCAAATCGCCATGTCATCTCCCTTCCTTGGTCGTACACATTCGTTATCTGCATCAGTGCATAACGGAAACTTGTCTATCCCCGCTCCTACCTATTCGCCCGATATGTCGTTCAAACATTCCCAGATCAAAATATCACCATCTTCCATGACACAGCCTAACGTCAGATCACCTCTTTCTCCCACCACGCGAGCTCTTAACGTCCAAGTCGACCGTTCGCAAGATAAAACGCCGAAGGCCGTTCCTCGCAGCCCATTGCTCGCACAGGATGTCTCGGCAAGGTCTAACGACTCATGGGAGCTAGGAGATCTCATCAGAGACGGCAAACTCGACATCGACGCCGTCAGCGACATCCTAGGCCTCTCTAACGCTTCCAGTCCTGTCACACCGGCGGCCCACAACGGGTCATTCTCAAGCGATCACTCTAGCCCGAGCCCGCGCATGACGCGCGGAGATATTAGTGCAAGCTCAGTACTGGTGCGCAAATGCGGCGGCCCGCTCTTCGCGATCCCTGAGGAGACAGACGACCTCAGTGAGGACATTGGCGAGGCGAGTATGACGATGGATATGCGCCGCCCGCTTTCGTCGCTCGTCGAGAGATGGGGCCGGGCGTGCGCGCGCGAGAGCGTGGACTCGGCGGCAATAGGAGGCGAGAAAGGCGTAGGACGCCTCCGCGAGTCCGTGAGCTCGAGCATCCTGAACGTTGACATCAGTCTGCTGGGGCTAGATGTATCTGCCATCGCGCCCGCCGTACCGCAAGAGGTGCGTGCAGACGATTCGGATGAGGGCGTGGAGATTTGGGAGGAAGACAGGAGCTGGAGAGAAAACTCCAGTGTTCGGTAAGTCTTCTTTCGTACTCGCTGAAGCACAGGTACTGATGGCTCGTGTGTTCAGGAATAGTATCGGCTGGGCTTGTTGAACCCGATGGTGACGGACAGAATCTATGTACTACTTGGAAGTTTTCTGTAAGCTCCGCAGTCATTCCTCGCGATACCTCAGTATTTGTTTCGTCTGAAATAGAAGCGATCATCCACATAAACCTAAGGCACCCTTTGGGCCAGATCTTGCCTAGGTATGACAGATATCACTGTTGAAAATGGGGGTAAAACAGAGCACGATCGATAAGGTATGTAAGCGCTGACGCCACATATCAGCGCGTTAGTATGTTAGGCATCAAAAAAAAATAAAGCTGCCCCTGTGAGGCTCGAACTCACGACCTTCCGATGCCTAAGAAACTCAGTAGGAGCCTCTTCCTAACAGTCGGACGCTGTAACCAACTCAGCCAAGGGGCACGATGCAACACCTAGCTGGTAAATAATCATGATCAGTCAAAGAACGACGAGAGCCCGAAAACACGGATTTCGATCACCTTCGCCTCGTATTACCCTCGTCCATCCAAGATTGATTTATCTAACGCAGAGGTGCTTGGACGGGAAGTGGATCATCCGGTTTACATCGCAGGGAAGCCGGACGCGTTGTTGATTAAAACTTAATAGTAGGAAAATGTCAAGGTTTGTATGTGCATTCGAACGATGTGCTTATTGCTACAAACAGAAACTAAGCATCAATGATGACCACGCCATCCGCGACCCGCCATTCTGCCTTTGCTCCATCTACATCAAAATCTCGCTGCCGCTTGAGCATCAGCGCCGAACCCTCACTTGATGTGCCGCCGAATATCGACACGAGTTCGGCATCGGAGAGCGAGACGTCCACGTCCAGCGTATACAGCGGAGGGACCTCGAGGATGATGCGGCGAGGTTCTATGTCGAGCGTCGCGGTATGGATGGATTCGTACGTCTACACGAGCTCTTCACTACGAGTCTCCGATAAAGGTTTATAAGGACTTACAAGTTTGGGAACGTGCACCGTGATCTTGATGCGCTCCCCATCTTTCGACCATTCAAACTTTGGCCGCTCCTTGGACTGCGGGCTCATCGTCCCCTTCTGGGGCAGTGTCCGACGCATCGGTTCTTGTATTTCTTCAATGAGCGGCTTCACTGGGGTTTTCAAGATGCTTTTTGGTGGCAAGGCCGGCACGTCTTTCGTAGGTTTGGGTGCGTCGGGTAGAGGCTGTGGATCAACCTCTTCGATCAACTTCTTGCCCTTGGTTTCCTCTCGGAGAGGATGCGCTTCTGGGAAGAGGACTAGGGGAACTAGCGCGCTGCGAGGAAGGAGCTTTCCTTTGGACGCAATGTTCGGTGTCCCAAGTTGACGCGACAGAAGAAGCGTATGTTGCGCTTCGATCCGCTGCAAGCCGAGTTCTGCGGTGTCCGGGTCAGCGGTGCTGATTTTGGATATAGGAAACACTACCAACCTACGAGGAACGCGCGGAATGTCTGATCGCGCAGACAACGCGATTTGAGCGACACATTGTAGACGCAGTCAAAGATGACAGAGGGATTACCGGCTGTGAGGATGAGACGCTGTCAGGAGATCACGTTAATGACATTTGGAGCCACGGACTACGGGACCCGGGGGCACCAGCTCAGCCAGAGTGGACGGTTAAGCTCACCTTTGTCTTTGTCGATCCGAGGTTCCGAAACAACGACGGGGACGAACCAGCCTTGCTCAGTGCTCTCGTCCAACTCCTCCTCGCCTCTCATTGCTCTCTGAATAGCCTCTTCGCTCCCTTCCGGTGGAGGCGGGACATTGGTATCCCAGGCAACGTTGACAAAGACCTTCATGCCCTTCGGTATTGACAAAGTGCCCGGCACGGACGCGAGCAGTGCGGCGGGTCCATCGAGTTTGTTTGCTGGCTCTTTTTGACTGGATACTTTGCATACAGCGGCCTGTACTGTTTTCGACTTGACACAGAAGCCAGCCGTCGGTGAGATATCAACTCGGACGGTGCTCGACTTGAGGTCCATGGTAAAATAAGAACCGCGTTAAATGTAATTTGAGCCTGTGTGGTCACCACTTGTTTTCGGAAGGTGTACACGTATGCTGTGTTGCAATTCGATGGCTTTAAGCACACGTTTGTGAGAGCAGTGCGGTCACAAGCACAGGTAGAGCACACGGCGGCAAGGTAGTAGTTTGTGTGCAAGAGAGATGCGGCCCGAAGCGCCTGCGGGAAAGGCGAAGTTTTGGCGAACGTGTCCGGGGTGGCGCCCAATTTATACCGAGACCACCTCCTTGCTTGCAGCCAGCATCGTCTCCACTATCCCTGCACGCACAGGAACGCTTTTCGGTACTGAAAAGCCTCGAAGAACATTGGACGCGACCATCGCACTCAGGCGATCAAAAAACATCGCGGAGACACGGCCGCAAATCACTGCCAGGTACGCTTGCTCCGATCGTCTTCCGCTTGCTTTCGTCCTCCCACCACCACCTCGTTCGCTGCGGCCGTACTAGAGATGCAGTTCGTTGCAAGAGATGACATCAAATGGGGCATGCTTGTTACGTTGTTCTGGACACAGCAGGTTACTAACATAGATCATCCCCAATTATGACTCGACCTGACCAGAGTGTCCGCGCCAACTCGACTCATTTCTTTCATCCACTACCTATCCTGAAAGGCCACCCCTATAAAAAGCCCTAGAGGGTTGGTGAGTAGCCAATCCCTTCGATCTCCGTTATCTTGCACTCACCAAGCGCGTACCCCAGCTCCAGACATGAAAACTCCTACAGACGACATCACGCCAGTACCCGAGGACGCTGAGACCCTCCAGACCTATATTCAGGACCGCAGAGTCATTGGCGTAAGTCATCTCCTTCGCTGTGGCTTTTGTGCTTGGGGCGTGAGTTACACCTTCTCGCTCCTCAAAGACATCTCTGGTACTACTCCGAAGAATATCGGAGGTCTGTGGATGGATATTTTGGGTTGGACAGGGATTCACTAATGTCACCGAATATCTTGAGGATGCTATGACAGAACTCTGTCCCTCGACACATCCTGCAGGTTCAGCACTCCAAGCAGTGTTCGCTGATTGCTGGCTTATGACGTCCCATGGCCACGGGTTACACTGGAGCTTGCTATTTCTTTCATCGAGACGGTTGTCGTATATCGTTTCCATGCGTTTTATACTGGTCATATGCGACTTCATATATGCGCAGGAGCGGGAGTCGCTATGTCCACTAGCTTGCCTTGCCTCCTTCCCACACTTTCAGCACTTTCGAGATGATCTACCCCGCTGTCTCGCCTCCAAGGCTGTTGTCTTCTCGCAAACGAGTACTGAACAATCTCAACGTACAGTATGACCCATTAGTGCAACCTGCATTGCTTCGCGACGAAATTCGCGCAACGCCTCAATCACAAGCCACGGTCGCTGCCGCCCGTTTCTCTGCTGCTCGCATCATTGCAGGTCAAGATGATCGCGTACTTGTCATTGTTGGTCCATGCTCGATCCACTCACCTCAACAAGCGCTTGACTACGCTCGGTTACTGAAAGAGAAACTCTCTTCCTGGCCAAACCTGCACATCATCATGCGTTCTTACTTGTATGTGTCATATTCCGTTTTTCAAGTCCACAAGACTTATCATTTTCCCTTCTTTCCAGTGAGGTGAGTTGTAGATACTCCGATAAGTAGGATGTATCACTTATTCCCCCGCAGAAACCAAGAACGACCGTCGGCTGGAAGGGTCTCATCAATGACCCCGACATCGACGGCAGCTTCAAAATTAACAAGGGCCTTAGGCTCGCGCGGCAGCTTCTCTGTGATCTGACGAGCATGGGCATCCCTGTCGGCGTAGAGCTGCTGGATACCATCTCCCCACAGTTCATGTCTGACCTCATTTCCTGGGGTGCCATCGGTGCGCGTACGACAGAGAGCCAGTTGCACAGAGAGCTCGCCAGTGGAGTGTCTTTTCCTATTGGCTTCAAGAACGGCACAGACGGAAGTGTGAGTAGTTGTTCTGAGCTCGCGCTCAGTGTGTAGTGCTAAGGTTAGGGTCTCGGTGATCCAGATGACGGTGGCGGTTGACGCGATGCGCTCGAGCTCGAACCCGCATGCGTTCATGGGCGTTACAGAACAGGGTCTCGCTGCAATTGTCAAGACGCGTGGCAACCAGGACGTGCATGTCATCCTTCGTGGCGGTAACAGTGGACCAAACTACTCAGCCGAGCACGTCAAGACGGCCGTTGCGTCTATCGCAAAAGCGCGTCCGCAGAACCACCCGGCGCTCATGATTGACTGCAGCCGTACGTGTCATATCTACTATCGCATGGGGAACAGTGCATTCCTAACTTCTACAACTCAGACGGTAACTCGCAAAAGGACCACAACAACCAGCCGAAGGTAGTCGACTCGATCTGCGAGCAGCTACGTGCAGGAAACCGCAACATCATCGGTGTTATGATCGAGTCTCACATCAACGCAGGCCGACAAGACGTACCTCCTGAGGGCCCTGCCGGTCTCAAATACGGCGTATCTATCACTGACGCTTGTGTCGATTGGGAGACGACTGTCCAGATGCTGAACAAATTGAACGAGGTAAGCCTCTTTGTCATTTTCCAGTCGGACACATATTAACTATTGTCCTTCTTCCAGGCTGTAAGCCAGCGAAGGCACACGCTCATCGAAGCCGCTCTCAGAAAACCGGCGGCTTTCCAGCGAGTCCATGAGATAGCTTGATGTAAGAACACACAACAGAAAAGGTAAGAAGGCCTCATGTATACGTCCTCGGCATCAGCTCACGGTCTATATCCAGGCACCATACTTCTCACGCCGGCCGCTGATTCTCCCATGAGTAGGAGTAAAATTGTATCTATTACACAGTGCTCTTGTATCCATCAACCGTGTGAAACACGCGATTTGCTGTCTTTGAGCACCTTGGCGAACCCCTTCCTTTATTGATCCTCCGAAGCACTCATTTGTGATACATATGGCTAACAGGTCCTAGGTCCGAGGCGGCTCAACTCTTCGGTGAATAGGCCGTTGACAATCAGGCACCGTGCATCCTATCGTTCCTGGTCAGGAGGCTGAGTAGTGGCGCTGGTACAGTATCACCCTGGGCAAGAAGATCTCCTTGTGGACGTTGCGATAGCATAGCTATCTATGGCGAAAGTTTGAGGTGGGTGACCTTAGTACATTTCCGCGATGGGTACATTGAGCTGATCTTGAGAAGAATTGAACAAGATGTTCTCACTTCTCTGTACCAATACTAGACGAGAATTGCTAGCCCTATAAGTAAAGCTTGGCTTGGCAAGGGATACTGCCTCTCATAGACTCCTGGATACGGTCTTATCGTTGAGTTCGTCGGGCCTCGACCGCTTTCAATCTGTGCAGCAAGACAGCACTGGGCTTGGCGGCTTCCTCTCAGCATCATGCAAGTGTACCCCGAGTTGGTGGC